GACTTTCACAACACTGTGGTATGACCAGTCAGCCTGATCATCTGATCTTCTTAGTTAGGGGATTCACAAAGCAGCCACGAGAGTAGATGGTGTCTTCTCTGGTGACAGCAGGTACCTCATATGGAAGGCATCCCTTACCCCTGGGAATGAGGTACTCAAGCCCCCTTTATGAGACTGATAGCTGTAGTCTCCCTAAATGGTTCTCTTCACTGGGGTAGATGAATATCTTATATGAGCACTCAAGGTAGGTTAGAACATACAAAATTGTAAACACAGACAGTACCAGGCTGTTTTAAGCTTAGATCAGGAATTGGCACTGCATGACAAAGGTGAGGTGGAAATAGGGACACTGCAGTAGACGATTTTATTCAAAAGGGACCTGGGAGGGCATGCAAGTGGTCCATAGTAGTTCTGAGATCCAGACAGGTACATGTTGCTGATAGGGCTGGCCTGGGGCAAAGAGGCACGCTGTTGCATATACTCAGTTCTGTTTCTGAGCATTAGCCTCCTGATTTTTAGCTGTTTCCCTTGAACTCTAGGGTTTGATACTGAGTCAATTCTTCATTTTCTGGGAGAAATGGCTTACATGTGCAGGTTAAGATTTCTTGGTTTTCTTCTTGAATGCATAAGGCCCAGAGAATAATCTGTCTCCACTCCCTAGTCTGAGCTAGTGTAGATTATCAATGAACATTTAAAGCCATTCATGCATTAAACGATAACCCACTTCATTATGCAGCTGTCCCAAGCCCAAATTCTTCAATGGCAGTCCCTCTCTCCTTGCATCAAGGTGAGCTGGCCTCGAAACATCATGAAAATGTTCTGTGATGCCCTCTTAGACACCCAACTACTCCTAAGAAGGTCTGTAAGGAATCAGCACTCACATTCACAGGAGCCTTTGTGCATGAAGCAGTCAGCAAACCTTGCTGCAAGCCATCCCTGTTGGTGACATGGGGTGAATGGTTGCAACCTAGGTTTTTCTCCCGAGAGTGCATTGTGCTGGGAATATGGTCTTATCACATAACCTATTACTACTTTGAGGGCTTTTTCCCAAGAGATTTGAAGACCTAGCAAGTCCTGAACTCATCATATTCTCCAAACTTTTGTTTGAAATCTAAAAAGCTGCTTCCAATGCTCATTTTATACCTCTTGTACCTTATCAGAAGTGGCCCTAGCACGTTTGGCATTTTTAGCTTTCTGCCTGCAAATCTCTCAAGTTGAGCTCCCAGCTTCCTTTGGAGACCCTTCTGTCTTCTGCGCTGCCTCAGGTAGCTGCTCAGTTACTTCCCTGTCACTGCCTGGCTCCAATCCCTCCTCCCCTTCCCTCCCTTCCCTTGTGGGCTGCTCACTGACCTCTCAGCTTCATCAGCAGTGCCTCAGGCCCTCCAGTCTCTGTCTGATACCTGCTCACAGTCATTACCACACTTTTTGCTATGAGAGTACTCACTTTTGATACTGGCTCCGATTCTGATTATGTGTTGTAGTGAAATAAGCCACCTTAGTGTAATTTTTTTATAAATACAAATAATTTTGCTACTTCTCATGTCTCAAGAGTTGGGTGACTCCCCATCTCCCTCAGATGGTGCCAGGTTGGCTTCACCAAGGTGGCTTTCTTGGGTGACTGATGCCTCCGCAGAGATGGCTGGAACTCTCAGCTCAGGCAGGTCCCTTGGGTGGCCGGCTTTTCCTCTCTGTCTGTGTAGCCTAACAAATTTTCTCCGGCAGGGAACAGAGTGCTCAGCTGGTGGCTCAAGTTCCCTGAGCCTCAGGGAGCAGCAGTGGGTCATGCTGTTGGTAAAGGACAGATCTTGAAGTGGAACATCACTTCGGCCATGTTGGTTGGCTCAAGTGACACTACTGCTGTGGCAGAGGAGAAAACAAAGACTTCCGAACTGAAATTGTTTAGTGGAGACCACTTTTGGTGGCCAGCTAGTTAGTATACATGCCCATATAAAGATTGTGGGGAAACTGATTTCTGTATTGCTTAAGAATACTCTGCTCCATCAGTAATGCGTGGCCCACTCTTGGAGAAACATTAGCTTAGCTGTGTTAATATTATGTCATATATTTATCTAAAATTACTAAAACTGTGAGAAACATTCATAGTAACTTAAATAGTATAATGCAATATGTGATTTTTAAACAGCCATTTCAGTGATTTTTGCAGATATTAAGGAACTGCTTTTTTTTTTCCTTTTTCTTAATGTAGGACAGATATTCTTTTAGTCAAAATAATCATTTTCTACAAACAGTGTGATAAATACATAGCTTAGGCAGATTTTCAAAGCCTTTTTCAACAGATCTCAGAAGGATGTAATAATTTAAGGGAGTAAGAATGTAATATCCATTAGATAAGAACAGGGTAGGGGACATATAATGGCCATAATTTCACTCTTTGTAACCAAAGAAAACACTTTTGTAAGCAACTGCAAAATAGATATGAAATCGCCTGAAGGCAACTTATTCTGCCATCTATTAAGAGTATCACTGTATTTATAATTTTATTTTTGTGAACATTTTTATTCGTATGTGTTTGTGATACATAATGAAGATATTCACCAGGGATTATTGTCTCATACGCATATTTCTTCTTGATTCTTTAAAATATATATTCCAAAATAAGTTTTGTGAGACATATGGCAGGTAATCTAAAGTTAGTATTTTTTTTTTTTTTTTTAGTTTTTCGAAATCTTTAATTTATTTCTTTGGTATAGGATCTCGTGATGCAGCTCAGACTTGTAGTGATCCTCTTATCTCAGCCTCGCCAGCACTGGGATTGCAGGTATATGCCACCATGCCCGGTTCCTGGATCCGCACACAGTACCAGGGATCAAACTCAGGTCGTTGCGCTTGCCAGGTAGGCACTTAGACCACTGAGCTATGTCCTCAACCCTAAGGTGAGTATCTTAATATGTCCTCAAAACACATAACTGAGCTTGATTAAAAGTGAAACTTTCTAAATGGAGTTGTCAAGTAAACAATTACTTTTGCAGAATACAACCTGTCTGTTGATTTACTGTGGACAGTACCAGCCACAACATTTCAAGCTACATGATATACACAAATATAATTTATCATGATGTTTTTCTTAAAATGAAGTTATTCACTATATACCAAATATATGCCTTTTTAATTATGCCTAATTTGTGTTAAATTTCTCTGAGTTAAATGTTTTCCATGATTTTGCTGTTCTCCATGGCAAAATGTTGCATCTGGGATGTTTCAAATGCACACCCAGGAGTCAAATCACTGAGGTACCTGCATTAGCTCACTAATGCCAGGCCCACTGCTGCTCATGGTCTGTAGCAGTTGTGTCCGTCTTAAACATCTTCCTATTTCCTGTGAGAAAATGCCATAACATATGCTGATTTTGTTTTTCTTAAATTTTATTTTATCAGTGCATGTTGGCAGCATATAACAAATGCATCCATCATGGGGAGTTGGAAAATGTACATAACACATCTTAGATGTTTTTGCTGTCACCTCACTCCTCTCTGTCCTCATACCCTCCACCTCTTGGTCCTACTGCTTTTACTTAAAGAACACTACCCAGTAAAGGGGAGAATGACATACTTACCATACAGCTCTGTGTGGTCAATGCTGTGACTGCGACCCTGGTGTGCCCACAGTGCAGGTGTTGTTTCTTTCCAGATTTCATTAGCTAACAAACATTTACTTAGCACAAACCATGTCATGGAGGGGTATTTGAATCCCCAGTGAAAAAGTTCTAAGTGACAGGAACCAGACTCTGTTAGAGAAGTTTTGTAATAACTTATGTCTGAACGTAGCCCAAGGGTTTCATCCCACGCTCGTGTCTTCCAGAAATAAGGTAATCATTTGATATTCAAATCTTAATGCCTTCTATTTCAGACCACTCTTCTCAATGACTTTACTTTTAAAGTCGATGCTTAGACACCACCAGAAGTGTCAAGTCCTGTGGGAAGCAAGAGAGGTCATCAGGAAGAGGGAGTACAATGTATTAAGGAATTAATGCAAATGCGAGTCACTCCCTCGGGTGTTATCTCAGGGCTGTGAGTGTTGCGTGCGACTGCAAATAACCTGCTAATAGATCCACTAAGTAGTTATCTTGGTTTAAGATTAAGATCAATAACTAATTAGTTATTTGTAGAAATTCTTAATTATAAACACCAAGGAAGAATAAAAATATACAAAGGAACTGTTACAGTGCTCTGTAAATGAGTACTGTGTTGTAAATCAACATTTTCAGGTACAATATTGTATGTGGGTTTAGAGAAACCTCTGTTAGTATTGACAAATGTAAAAATAATGTTGAAAATCATTTTAGATCATTCAAATATATGTATAATACATATTAACTTTCTCAGTGAACTGCTTTTCTGTTTTGACCAAGGATTTAATCTTTTTCCTGTGGATATACTGTTGCCTATACAACTATTTTTTCATGTGTCTTGATGATTGTGTTTGCTTATACAGTGTCTCATTTATGTTTCTAGATTTTGAATCATATTTAAAAAGGTTTTTTACTACCATTACTGTAGAATGTTTTGATTTTCCCCCTAATATTAAAAGTTCTAAGTTTAAGCATTTATATTTCATTTGAAATTTATCTTGGTAAATGGCCGAATGTGTGAAGTCAACTTTGTCCCTCCCACTTGGCCATTGCCATTGTTACCAGCACTGCTCCTACAGCGATTGAGATCACAAGCTGGTCAGCTGCTTAGTGCCCTGTGTGCTTGGGTCACTTGCCAGGTTCTGTGCTGTCCACTCACCCTCTGGCCACTCGTGGGCCAGATGCTAATCTTTAAGTTAGAGTTGGATGTTTTATTATCTGGAAGGACTACCCTCTCTTCTTTCTTTCTGAATGTAAATTTGCTATTTGAAATATACAGCCCCAAATCTATGGAATCATCCTAAAGTCCTCCCTGCCAGCTGTATTTCATTCCAATCCTCAGTGAGTACTGCTGCTTCTTTCCTAGAATCCGTATCTGGATGCGGACTCCTTCCCCTTCCGTCCCTCCCAGGCTAGCTCAACTCACTGCACTATCTTGACTGGACTCAGAGCTGGCAAGAGCAAGCCTGAGTATGTGCTCGAGTTCAGCTAAGGCACAGGTGCAAAGGCTCCGTAACCTTATGTAAGCACAATATTTCTTTAGTGGTCATGCGATTTGCCAACGGCAATGCTGCAGATGCTTAGCGTCACTGAGAATGGCTTTCCCACAGTGGCAAACATTCTCATTATTTATTAATTTTAGAGCATGGGTTTTGTTATTTACAGGTTGTACCAGTCAGGGTTTTGCTAGAGGAACAGATATAATACAATGAACAGATATAACACAAGATATACAAATGTGTAAGAAATTACAAGATGGCTTTATGATAGTCAGCCACACGGTCAGATGAGGAAGCCTGAAGAGGGTGTCTGCACACCAGAGATGGAAGGACTCAGCTCAAGGTCTGTGTTATACCCTGTCAAATTGACTCCATTTTGTTGCCCTTCTAACCTCGTTGAGTTCCTGTTCTGTATGCGCCTACCCCTCCCAACTCCTCACCCCCTTATGACCCAAGTCTTATGATATCTGTTCCCCAAACCTTATCTTGTCCTGCAGAACTCTGCATGATTTCAGCACCCCCGCCCAATGGGCCCACTAGATAAACTCATGACCTCGCCAATTCAGCACCTCCACCCAACAGGATCACCCCATGAACTAATGACTCGCTGTACCCCGTGATTGCTGATTCCAGTACAAGACCACCTAGTGAACTAATGACCCTGCCACTTCTTCCTCTCCACCCCTTCCCTGTTTTGGGGGTTTTTAAGCTTTCAAGCTTTATGGCACCTTGTTAATGCTTGGCGCCCCTCTTTGCACCTTGCATAGCGACTGCCGCTGGGTACCAGCTAAAATAAAGTGCTTCTTTTAACTTTTGGACTTGCCTCGTTGTCATCTGATTTTTGAGCTACAACAGTCTGGAACTCATTTCAGTGCTCCATGCATGTCCTTATCAGTCACTGATGGGTCTGTGATGGGAGGGATGGAAGGCTGATGAGTCTGTGACAGAAAGCTGAATGATCCAAGTCAGAGGCCAAAGAGTTTGTGCTGGAAGCCAGGGGATAAAGTCCAAGCTGACCGCGAAGACTGAAGTTC